AATGCACTGCCCCTGTAGCATACTCGGAGCCAGACTGCACCCATGCGTGGACGCTGACTCAGGCATGTCTGGAGACCCCAGGCATAAGGAAAAGGCATCATCAGCACACACCCTGGGATGTCACTGTTCTACTTCCAAGAGGTTCTAAACTTGACTGAAAGTTGAAGAACGAACCTAGCTTCCTTGGTGATGTAGTGGTTAGGATTCAGCGTTCTCACCACCACTACAGGGTCCAAATTATCAAAGATGAAAAATAAATGGACAAACCTAGCAACATGGAAATATGCACAACATTCTTCACTGGGAGGACTGAGGGCTTAAGATGTCAATTCTTTCTAAATGCCCTTTATAAATAAATGCAATCCCTTCAAAATCCCACTGGAATTTTAAAAATAGAATTTGAAAAACTGATGGCAAAGCTCATGAGAAAAATAAGTGCATGAAACAGCAAAGAAACTTTTTTAAGTAAACGAAAAAAGCCCTCCAAACTATCAAAGCACTCTGCAAAGCTACAGTAATTAAAATGGAGTGGTGCCAGAAAAGGTACCAACACAAGATCAAGGGCCCAGATGAAGACCTGACAGCAATCCAGACCCTTCCTGCACACGTGTGCGCACATGCCAGACTATCTGGCCTGCTTTTCCAGTGTGCGCACATACACGCTCACATACATAGACACACAGGCTGTTTCCAGGCATGTGTTGTTTGCATCCTGGTTTTTTTTTTTTGTATATATCTTTGTACATGTATTTTGCAGAAAATGAGAAGGACCACTTCTTTAAGATCTAATCTTAGAAGTAAATTTGGGGTCAAGGGACACACAAATTTAAAATTCCAACAGGACTAGCCAAGCACGGTGACTCACGCCTGTAATCCCAGCATTTTGGGAGACCAAGGCAGGCAGATTGCTTGAGCCCAGGGTTCGAGACCAGCCTGGGAAACACAGTGAAACTTCATCTCTATAAAAAAAAAATAAAAGAATAAAAATAAAAATTAGCCAGGCATGGTCCCAGCTACTTAAGATGCTGAGGTGGGAGGATCACCTGAGCCTAGGAGACCAAGGCTGCTGTGAGCCTTGGTCATAACCATGCCACTGCAAACCAGCCTGGGCAACAGGGTAAAACCCAGACTCTGACTTAAAAAAAAAAAAAAAAAAAAGAATCCAACGAGACTACAGGTGTTGCTGTCTGCATGGCGATGGAAAGTTCTCCCCCCATCTGCAGCACCCTGGGGCCTGCCCTGCACTGTCCTCTGCCATCTGTTACACTCACAGGAGCTTTGGCCTGAACACAACTCCATTTCAAGTCCTAAGCACTCTCTCCCCACCCCCCGTCGCTGTTCCTAGCCTTCCTTGTGGTGTCATTTCCCATAAGGAGCCTTCATGTCTTTAGATGGGGACGGCCCATCCTTTGCGGCTTTGCGTGAGCATCGAGGTCAGGATCCTTAGCTAACACATGCATGGAGTCGGCACACCATAACAGTAAGAGAAGGCGTCGCGCAAGTGATAGGTGCTCATGAACGGGCTTCAAGACACCGCCTGGGCAGGTGGGTAGGGGACAGGCTGCAGCCACGGGACGGTCAGGACACCCTTTGTCTTATGGGCACGGGCTCAGCACCGAGATGACGAAGGACCACCCACGTCACGCCCCCTCATGCACAGCAGGTAGGCTGCTCTGTGCTCCATGGGCCTTACAGACAATGTCTCCCAGCCAGGAGCATGTGACATGGTAGGAGTGGCTTGTGCTGAGCAGCAGAGACATGCAAGTCAGCATGTATTAAAATTTGGCCAAGTAAGACACGAGGTGGGGGAAGGCCTAATGCCCTGACCTCCCGGTCTACACTCAAACAGCTGCAACTTCCCAGTCAGAAGGCACCACCCCCGCCCCATGACATATCCAGAGACCGACAGTGAGAGATTAAGAAAGGCAATGGAATGGCGTGTCTCCAGTACAACCTTAATAAAGTATCTAAGGGCCAGGCATGGTGACTCATGCCTATAATCCCAACACTTTGGGAGGCCAAGGTGACAGGATTGCCTGAGCCCACAGGTTCAAGACCAGCCTGGGCAACAGTGAGACCTCATCTCTACAATAAATCAAAAAAATTAGCCAGATGTGGTGGCATGTACCTGTAGTTCCAGCTACTTGGAAGGCTGAGGCGGAAGGATCACCTGAACCCAGCAGGTCGAGGCTGTGGTGGCCGTGAGTGTGCCACTGAACTCCAGCCTGGGAGACAGAGTGAGACTCCAATTCCAGGAAAATAAATAAATAAATAAAATTTTAAAAAACAAATAAAGTATCTAAGAGTTCTGTGGTGTACCTTTAAGCCAATTTTCACATTCAAATCGGAGCAATAAGATGTCTGTTCATCAGAGACAATCCTGACTCAATACGGGCTACCCGAATGTCATGTGTGACTGTGCCACCGAGCTGCACGCTGAGGCAAGGGGGCACCATCTATGGCTGTGGCAGGGGAGACCAGGGCCAGGCCGCTCTGCATAACCAGGCATCAGTGGGGCATCCTTGTTTCCTGGGCACAGACTCCGATGGCCAGCGTTACAGAGTCACTCCAGGCCAATGATCTGAAGGCCACAAGGAAGCGTCCATGCTACAAATAGCTCAAATAGCAGCCATAGGCCAACATGAGGCCCAGAAAAGCCACTAGGTTACATATATTCTTTCATTGAGGCATTTACCATTCCCACCTGGAAACGATGAGCAAAAGCTTCTGGCACTGATAAAACGCCATTAAAATATCAAGAATCAGCCAGGCTCGGTGGCTCAGCCTGTAATCCCGCGCCTTTGGGAGGCTGAGGTGAGTGGATTGCCTGAGCCCGCGGGTTCGAGACCCACCTAGGCAGCAAGACCTCATCTCTACAATAAATCAAAAAATCAGTCGGGCGTGGTAGCGCATGCCTATAATTCCAGCTACTTGGAAGGTTTAGGCGGAAGGATCATGGGAGCCCAGCAGGTCGAGGCTGCGGTGGCCGGGAGCGGCCACTGCACTCCAGTCTGGGCGACAGAGTGAGACTCCAACTCAAAAAAAAAAAAAAATATCAAGAATCAACTCAGCCAGGGAGGAACAAGCAAGCCACTAAGTAACAACCGGGCTCTGGAAAAGATGATCAAGGCAGAGGAGGAGAGTTGACAGGAACTGAGCCCAGAAACTTGTCAACTGCAGAAGGATAGCTGTGTTGCAACACAGCCATAAGAAAATCAACTTTAATATGAAGATGACTTCCTGACTGCTGTGCCTACCACAAGAACGAGCCTTTCCCAGTGCAAGCCCCTGGACCCTGGGAACACAGCCACCCACCCCGTGGCTCCTTCTGCTCCTCTGCAGGTCGCCATTGAGTCCTTCTGTGCCGGCGATGAGCACAGTGCATCCGTCGCACCTCCCATGCACAGCAGACTCTATTCGATGGTCTAACACTTCAGGCAAAAGCCAAGTGAGTGAGCCTCGACACCCCTATAAGGTTCTCCGCTAAATACCGAGCCTGTGCTCCAGTGAGAGGCACACCCCTACCAGCATCTCCCCCAGGTCAGAGTTCTCAGATCTGGAAAAGGATCTGCACTACCAGCCTGTCTCACCACTGCCAGGACACTCTAGCCTACTGCTTTACCAGCAGAGACGTGCCCTAAGCAAAGTGTAGGCCAAGCCACCCCTAAGAGGACACAGAAAGACGTGCCCTAAACCAGGTTCATGGCACTGACCACCCCAAGGAGGATGCAGAGACATGCCCCCCTAAACCAGGTTCATGGCCTTGACCATTCCTAGAAGGATGCGGAGAGATATATTCTAAGCCAGGATCATGGTCTTGGCCATCCCTAGGAGGAGGACGTGGAGACACATGCCCTAAGTAAGACTCAGGCCTCGGCCACCAGGCCAGGCCACCCCCAGGAGGATGCTAACGACCCCACCCTCAATCTGCTGGCCCATGAGGCTTCTGCATCTACATAATCCATGCAGATACATAGATGTGCGGCTTCTGACTGCAGGAGACGCTTGTGGTAAATGTGCAGCAGAAAACCCCACTCTCTCAATTTCTGATAGAGACAGAATTGACATCGATAGGCACGGGGCCTCGCTCACTGAAAGGTAAATGTTTCTTGTCCTGCCTCTCAACACACCACGATGTTCACACTAGCTGACATAGAACAAGAACTCTTCTTAAAAAAATATCTTGTAGGCCAGCCTCGGTGGCTCAGCCTGTAATCCTAGCGCTTTGGGAGGCCAAGGCGAGTAGATTGCCTGAGACCATGGGTTTGAGACCAGCCTGGGCAACTTGGCTAGACTTCATCTCTACAATAAAAAAAAAAAATTAACTGGGTGTGGTAGTGTGCACCTGTAGTTCTGGCTACTTGGATGGCTGAGGCAAAAGGATTGCTGGAGCCCAGCAGGTCGACTCTGGAGTGGCCGTGAGTATGCCACTGCACTCCAGCCTGAGCGATAGAGTGAGACTCCAACTTAAAAAAAAAAAATCTTGTAGTCAACATCGATGGCCACAGGGCCTCGCTCACTGAAAGGTAAATGTTTCTTGTCCTGTCTCTCACCAGCACCACAATGTCCACACCAGCTGACACAGAACAAGAATTCTTCTTAGAGAAACATCTTGTAGTCAATAGTGCGACAGGGATCAGAAGTGCTTCCGCAAGCTCGAATCTTCAAGCTCCTCCAGGGTTACAGGCAGCCACAGGGAAGAATCACAGCACAACACGACAAACAGGAGCAGAGACAGGAAGATGTCTACAGGCAGGGCTGACCCAGCTGCTCCTGGCAGTGCCTGGCAGCTGGTAGACCCCTCTCTGCTACCCACTTGGGCTTCTCTGTGAAGAGTGCAGAGAAAACAGCGGGCTTCCTTCACCACCCAGCAGCCCAGCAACACCAGTCTCCCAGGACTATGCCCTGAGCGTCCCCCAAGTCCGGGAGTCTAACTCCACTCAGCACACAGGCAGCAGAGAGCCAGGCCCAGGGCACGGGAATCTCACCCCCCTTCTTACTTGACTTGCTCCCAGGTCTTGGTGGCCAAGTGCAGGACCCAGAGATCCTTGTAGTGGTAGAACTGCTCCCCGCTAGGAGATGCAAACTCCCCTCCAAAGACCCACAGCTGCCCGCCACCTTGAGGCACCACCACCGCCTGTGAAGAGAAGGGCAACAAGTCAGGGTGTGGCCACACAGCGCAGGGCCAGCTCCAGAGGCTACCAGGCGGAGCAGCATCTGCTCCCAGTGAAAAGAGACAGAGAAAGAAAAGGCTGGAAAAGAAGAAACAGAGAGATTTCCATGACCACATTAGATCACATGATACAGCCTAACATACATGCAGTTAAACTCCCAGAAAAACCACAAAGATATATCAAAACCAAACTGATGGGAAGCCAATGACAAAGAAAAAAATCTCTGAAGTAGTCTGAGGGAGGAAAAGGACACACTAAATACAGGAGAATTAAGATAAGAGTGAATACTGATCTCTCAGAAACAATGAATAGCCAGAAAACAGAACACCTATCAAGTGCTAAGGCAACAGCTCTCAGTTTAGAATTATATATCCAGCAAAAACAGCTGCCACTTAGAAAAAACTTTAAAAACGTACTATCGGCAGACCTATACTCTCAAAATGCCAAGGGAAGTTTTTAGGAGAGTGTGGGTATTCTTTGTTGGGTTCTTACAGTTTATGGGAAGTGATGTAATATCATTTGAAGACAGACTGTCTTTAGCTCAAGATGTATACTGTAACAGGGAGTGGTGGCTCAAGCCGGGTACAGTGGTTCATGCCTGTAACCAACCATGTTTCCCTGCACTGGAGAAGCAGGCAGTCATCCCAGCTGTTTATTGAGCGAGCCCAACTGTTCTAGGTACAGGTTATATGTCCCTATGGGTGACAGAGCACCGTCTGCAGCCTGACAGAAGCAGGACAGCCCTGACACTACTCTCCTTGCATAAGAGGAAACTAGCTCACAACGATAACCCATGCTACTCCTCACCCTCTCCTTACAGCTCATTACACTCTATAATAGCGCTGCTGCCGCCACCTTCCCTACTCTCACTTCCACCACCTTGTCCGGATCTTGGGCCCACAGGAGTGAGCATCTTGCCAAGTGGCTGTGACGTACCCGGCACGACACTTGGTATCTCTCTGTGGAGTATCTCCTCCAATCCTCGCCCATCCGGGGGAGCCCATGCTCACCTGCCCACTTCACAGGAAGACTCGGAAGTGTGCAAAAGCTCAGTAAGGAGTCCAAGCAGAAAAGAGCAGAGCCAGGATGATGGCAAGGCCCAGGCTGCCCACCATGCAAACCCTCCTGGGGTCTCCCAGACTCTCAGACACTCAAGAGGGAAGGAGGCAAACAGTCAGCGCTGACGTTACCTGGTGAGCACAGCGCCTTGGAGGGGGGCTGGGGATGTCGACTTTGGTCCAGGAGTCCTTTCTGATGTTGTAGACATAGAGCTCGTTATACAAAAAGGTCTGCAGGAAGGAAAAGGACCCTCAGTCACGACTGATATGCTCTCAGGCAGGTCACATGACAGTCAGCGGTGAGAGCGATCTTACACATGACGATCCCAGAACCTGCATCCTAGAGTGGGCAAGGCACGTCAATGCAGGAGCTTATGTGGCTGCCTCGGGATCCTGGGTGATGATACAATGAAGACCGGAGCCTGTTACCCGTAAGGTTCCAAAAGCCTGTGCTGCTCGGCAGAGTCATCATTCCCCGAAGTCAGCCCACATTGTAAATGCATGGAAATTCAGAGGAAGAGGGAGAGGCGAAGCAAGACCCACACGACTACCCGCGGGGCCAAAGGGAGCCCACACCAGTGTGATGGCCTCATCGACGGCTCAGAGGCACAGGTCTTTCTGGACTGCTCAGAAATAGGAGTGAGCCCTACATGTGTTGGCATGCTTCCCATTCAAGCAGCTTTGAGAGCCATGAGTGTGGCCACCACAGTGAGGGCACGCAGCTCAGCACCAGTAACTGGCTGCAGACCACGAGCACCAGTGGTCACTTCAGGTCCTGCACCGTCCCAGGACATCTCACATCAGCCTGAGGCTCAGGAACAAGTCCACCAGAGGGGAGTGACAGGGCTGGCGTGTATTGGACATCACTGTTCTGAGTTCATCTTACTTCAAATGATACCCTTGAAAATGTGGGAGGAAAAGAAAAAATATATACTTTACTTTTTGGCCATTGAAATATTCACCTCCGAACAGGATTAATTCATCTTTCTCGGGATGAGCAGAGAGGGAAGCATTTAACCTGCAAGAGGAGAGATACAGAAGCAAGTCAACACAGTCACAACCCCTGACGGCTGCGTGAGCACCAGGCCCCTCCCTACAACGTATCCCCAGGGACTGGCCACCCTGCACTTCCTAGAAAGGAAGCAAAAGTGCCACCTCCACCATCCACCTTTCACCCCTAAAACTAGTACCAGGACCACACTCCCAGAAGAGCCCCAGACCTGGGCCACGTCACACTGCATCTGGCTCTAAAACTCATCAGGAATCAAGCCTAGACAATCCTACTTATAGACCAAGTTCTCCAGAACTGCCCTGTTTTAGAGTCTATCCTCTTAAATCACCTCAGGATTGTTCTAAAAAGTTCAGTATTTAGGCATTTCAATATACATCCCAGACACTTTGCAGCTAGGAAAATAAATAACTTTCTACTAATTTCACACATGAGGACAAAAGAATGGTTATAAGGAAACTACAGATACAGTCCCACCACTCCTGTTGAAAGTAACAGAAGTTAGGTGTGGTGGCTCACACCTGTCATCCCAGCATTTTGGGAGGCAGAGGAGGAAGGATTGCCTGAGCCCAGGGGTTCGAGACCAGCCTGAGCAACATGGCGAGACCTTGTCTCTACAATAAATCAAAAAGTTAGCTGGGTGTGGTGGCGTGCACCTGAAGTTCCAGTTACTTGGAAGGTTGAGGTGGAAGGTCAAGGCTGTGATGGCCGTGAGCATGCCACTGCACTCCAGCCTGGGTGACAGAGTCAGACTCCAGCTCAAAGGAAAAAATAGAAAAAAAAACGAATAATGGAAGACACAGTGACCATAAGGGCAATCACTGGAAGACACCCTTCTTTCAAATTTTTCTGTAATGGTGTTCCCAAAGAAAGTTCCCTAAGGCTCATTCCAAAAGATATTTCTCGAAGGAAAAACAGGTTTCAAGGGCAAATTTGGGAAATCTGCAAACTCTATTTTGCTCTGAAGGATTTGTTGAGCAAAGAAACGTTTCACAGGATGAGAAATTCTGCAGTAAAGAACTAGCACTAAAACAGCGTAGTTCCTGTGGAAAAGAGCTTGGCGGGCCCTTCAAAAGCGACTCAGGAATTCACATGACCCAACAACACCATTCCTGGCACAGCCTCAAGTGGATGCCTGTCCTGTACATTCATGACAGCACCATTCGCCACAGTCATGGAAGAGACAGCTAAGAGATGGGGGACACGCAAAACGCAGCACAGGCACAAAATATGATTCATACTAAGAAGGAAGGACATTGGATACATGCCACAGCACTGATGAGCCGTGCAAATACGCAGAGGGAAAGAAGTCGGGGACAAAATAACAAGCACCAAGTGACCCGACTCATGTGAAAGATCCAGAACAGGTAGATTCATGGCAATAGAAAGCAGACAGGGGGCCAGGCTCAGCCTGTAATCCCAGCACTTTGGGAGGTCGAGGCGAGTGGACTGCCTGAGCCCGCGGGTTCAAGACCTGCCCGGGCAACTTGGCGAGACCTTGTCTCTTCAATAAATCAAAAATTAGCCAGGCATGGTAGCATGCACCTGTATTTCCAGCTCCTTGGAAGGCTGAGGCGGAAGGATCGCCAGAGCCCAGCAGATCGAGGCTGCAGTGGCTGGGAGCGGCCACTGCACTCCAGTCTGGGTAACAGAGTGAGACTCCGACTCAAAAATAAATAAATAAATAAAAAATAAAATGGCTCATATCAATTCATGTTTGATGATCAAACCCTTAACATGAACATTTAAAAGCATTACAAACACAGCAAAAGGCTGTGGTGATTTTCTGCTTTGTGAATGTGAAAAACCCACCGAGCTGCAGTTACAAATGACCAAAATGGCAAGTTGTATGTTATGTGTATTTGGCCACAAAAAAAAGTAGACGAATACACAGTGCTTCCCAAACTCCTTTGACCCCAAATCTTTTTTCACTGAGTACCTATTGTCCTTCCGTGGAAAAGCACCAAACACTACTCGAGAAATCACATCAGGCCAATGTGCCAACCTCCCCAAGGCCTGGCCCAGCCAGAGCCACCACTGCCCTTCCCTAGCAGGCATCAGGCACGCCCTACCCTCCTTTCTCAGGGAAATGAAGCAAAACAAGTCTCAACCCAACAAGCCTAGGCAGCCTGTGAGTGTGCTCCCTGCCCCTCCTCTGGAAGGCACGGGAGTTTCCCATGGTGGGGTGGACCTCCCAGGTACCGAACTCAAGGCGCCTCCAGTCACCAAGCTGCGAAACAGAACTCCAGAGCCTTCACTCCACCGACAAGCAAGGGAAGGCAGGAGCAAGAGGATGAGAGTGGGGCAGGGGAGGGGCAGGGTGTAGACCCTGCTGCGGGTTCCTGCACTTCCAGGTAAAGGAGAAGGGGCAGGGGATGGGGGCCAGGGAAAGCACACCCACGGCCTCCCATGCTCCCTGGGCAGGAGAGGGGCCAGGCGTAACCTCACCTTGGCCTCCCACATTCCCCAGGGGTTGCAGGACCCAAGAGTCTTGAGGTTTTTCACTTCATTTAAAATGAAGTGAACATTTCATTTTAAACATTAATTTTTTCATTGTTAACATTAATTATATGTTTGATAATCAAACCTTCAGCATGAACATTTTTTATTTTATTTTTGAGTCGGAGTCTCACTCTGTCACCCAGGCTGGAGTGCAGTGGCACACTACTCACAGCCACCGCAGCACGGACCTGCTAGGCTCAGGTGATCCTTCCGCCTCAGCCTTCCAAGTAGCCGGAACCACAGGCATGCACCACTATGCCTGGCTAATTTTTTTTTAATTTATTGTAGAGATGCAGTCTTGTCAAGTTGCCCAGATTGGTTTTGAACCACTGGACTCAGGCAATCCTCTCGCCTCGGCCGCCCAAAGTGCTGGGTTTACAGGCATGCACAACCATGCCCGGCTATTTTTTATTTATTGTAAAGACAAGGTCTTGCCATGTTGCTCAGGCTGGTCTCGAAACCCTGAGCTCAGGCAATTCTCTCGCCTCAGCCTCCAAAAGTGCTGAGATGAAAGGCGTGAGCCACTATGCCCAGCCTAGCATGAACATAAGCATCACAAACACAGCAAAAAGCTGTAATGTTCTCTTTCCACCTGTGATGGGTACTTTTTTTTATTTATTTATTTGTTATTATTTTTCCAGCCCAGGCTGGAGTGCAATGGCACACTCATGGCCACCCCAGTGTGATCCTTCTAATCTCAGCCTTCCAAGTAGCCAGAACTACAGGTGTGTGCTACCGCACCTGGCTAATTTTTTATATACTGTAGAGCTGACATCTCGCAAGTTGCCCAGGCTGTTCTCAAACCTAGGGGCTCAGGCAGGCAATCCCCTCACCTCGGCCTCCCAAGGGGCTATGATAACAGACTTGAGCCACTGTGCCCGACCTGATGGGCACTTTTTTTTTTTTTTTTTTTTTTTTTGAGTTGGAGTCTCACTCGGAGCGGCCGAGTGCAGGAGCGGCCACTGCAGCTTCGACCTGCTGGGCTCTGGCGATCCTTCCGCCTCAGCCTTCTGAGTAGCCGGAATTACAGGCATGCGCTACCACGCCCGGCTGATTTTTTGATTTATTGTAGAGATGAGGTCTCGCTGCCCAGGCGGGTCTCGAACCCGCGGGCTCAGGCAATCCACTCACCTCAGCCTCCCAAAGGCGCGGGATTACAGGCTGAGCCACCGAGCCCAGCTCTGATGGGCACTTTTAAACGACCCCCAAACCAAAGAAAAGCTCACTGGGGGATCGCCTCCCCCAACAGTTCCAGTGAGCTCCCATGACTGGCCCACAACCTGGCCAGGCTCAGGCCCAGGCCGTGCATGACAGGGACCATGGCCCTACCATGGGGCTCCAGAATTAAATGATAGGAAGCAGTGATGCACTGTCCCAGCGCTGGGCATGTGTAAAGCCGTGGCACCGACCACGGTGGCTCCCAGCATACAGGAGGAGCCCCAGTCTGCTTACCGTGGAGAGGGCGGGGGGCATGGGCTTTCCACAGTCTGGGTCTTGCTGGCATCGAGTGTCTGGAAATGGGCTATGAGAGCTTCCAGATCTTCCTATGGGCAAACAAGCAGCACACATGAGACCCAAGCTTAGCCCCATGGCAAGTCCCAGCCTGGCCAGCCACCTCCTGTGAGTGCTGACCAGCCGGCGATCTATGAGTTACACCAGACAGCGCCTGCCAGCAACACAGAGCTTGGCCTCCAAGGCGGCCTGCTCAGAGTGCAGTCTTGTGCATTCCCACATGTCACCTCATCCCAAACCCCACCCCCCACCGGGAGCTTCCACTTGGACAAGCCCACCTGGTTCACTGCCGATACCTTCAACACCTCCCACTGCCTGGCCTGGGCCATCTGTTTCCTGCACTGCCCCCCCAACCAAAACAATAAAACACTCGCTTCACAAGAGCAAGACTTGGACATCTCTGCATGGGCCTGCAGCAGTCTCCGCGTGCAAGGTCCGGGTTTCACAGCTGTAGAAGCAGCCAGATTTGGGGACCCAACAACCCCGTCTCAGGCCAGGCTGCTTCCCTGCCACCCTCCCCCCCAACTATCTCCAGTCCATCATCCTCTGGAAAGTTCCCTTTTAGCCCAATTTGAAGTCTCACTCCCCTCACCTTTTCAGAGACCTGAAATCTGGCCCCTTTCCCCCATCCCTAATGCAAAACACTGCACTAGCACAGGAAGCACTTTACTCAAAGGCCTGGATGAGAAGAAACTGGTGGAGAGACAGACCCTGCTCCAGCATGGCTGCCTCGGGTAGGAGTGCTGGAACGAGGGCACCTGGTCTGTTCGGTCAGCTGCCATGTCCATCCTAGTATGTAACTGGCACGGCGCCCCCCCAGCTACAGTCATCCCCACGCACCGAGCTGTCACACGATGGTGGGGAGCTCGTCTCCTCCCTTCTCCCCCCTTCTCCCCACGCCACCGGTGAACCCAGAGCAGCTCCACGTGCCCCTCACACTGAGCAGTCACCAGCCTCCACCAGCATCTGAGTCAGGAAAGCTCCACTACTACTGCTGCTCCAAAGCAGCTGTTCTTAAGTTCGCTGAGCCTCACAGCCAAGAGTGACTGGAGGAGGAGGAGAAGGGTGGGTCAGGGACAGCCTTTCCAAGGTGACAATAAGTTGAATGATGAAGACCACCATGAGGAGTGTGGCTGGGACGGAGGTAAAGACCACAAGCAAAAGAATTTGGCATGCTCGAGGCACTAAAACAGAGGGAACAGTGGAGAGGCAGGCGGAGGCCAGGACAGCAGGAAGGCACCAGCCAAGTGACCTGATACATGAGTTCTCTGGTAGCAGAATTCCAAACTGTCCCCAAGATCCCCTCCCCATCCCCAGGACTGGGAAAAGATGGGCTATCACTCCCGTGATTAGGTTATTACATGACACAGCTGACTTTCAGGAAGGCCAATGACCCTCTGTGGGCCTGGCCTACTTGGAGGATCATCTTGAGGGTCTGCTTTGAAGATTAAGCAAGACAACACGCAGAGTCCTGGATGGCAGGCTCCCCCTCCTCGTGAAAGCTACTATGATGACATCCGAGCACAAGCACCGCAGGGAGGTGCAAAATTGAGTCCAAATGACAGAATGGTTCCTCACTACCAGCTTACTCCATGCCAGGCACTGTTCTAAGGTGCACAAGGTCTGGCGGGCTGCAGAGGCCATACACCTAGCAGTCAAGAACCTGAGTTCAATGAACCTGAGGACGTGAAAGGAGAGGGTGAGGGAAGCCCAAGTCCATTATCTACAGGTGCAGATGTGGAGGGATAAACGACTTGGGAAGAAAAGAAGCCAGGAAAGTGCTTTAAGAGCTCTGGGCTGGGCTGCCTGGTCAACGCCAGTTCCACACAACTTCACAGCTGTGCGACCCTTAGCCATGGAACCTGTGGGTCTCTAACTTCCTGACTGTCCCACGGGACTGCCAGTGCTACCCAACTCACCTGTCATGAGGATGACAGCCCAGGTACACAGTGCCTGGCACACGGCAAACACTCAGTAAACCCTGGCCGTTAAAACGACCCCAGGTTCAGAGCCCAGGAGCAGCTCAACACACACAGCACACTCAGCCCTGAGTTCCACTGACCGCCTGCAGATCCCAGGATGGCAGGGAAGGGAAAGGAAGACACCGGTTGGTGGTCACCAACTGTCCCGGCATCACAAC